AGTGAACTTTTTTGCCGTAGAGTAAACCAAGCACTTATGGGGTGGCTCAAACTAGAAGCCAGTGAGAAGTCCACAGTGTGAATAGTGTTTGATTTTTTTTTTTATGACGAGCAAATACACACCCATACAGAACTAAGTTTAGATATGTCTTTCTAAGCTAATTAGTATTGTATATAAAATACAGACAGACCCCTGTTTAATAATACCAAGTGTTCAATAAAGTGATTATTGTCATGCCTACAAAGAACAATGCCCTACTAACAGAAATAAAGCAAATGGGCAATTTTATTCATAATCGAACATCTAAATGCCCTTGGCAGTCTATTTATATAAAGTAGGTGCCTGTTTCCCGCTATTCTGTAATGTATCTGAATCCCTTTGTGCTATGAATATCACTCTACCTCTGGCCTAATAATTAAATCTATATGAGACTAATTAACCAGAGACAATAATCAGATTTAATTGCATATGTTCCCGTGGGAACCCCACGTACAGGAAGGGTTCAGACACAGAAAGGGAAACTGAGGCATCTGACATTCTGAGCTAAGGATGAGGAAAGGCGCCTTAGAGCTTGAGGGGAGGAAGGTCATTTGAAGAAGAGTAAGATGCACAGATGTTCAATAATTAGAAATTTGCTCTGCCCTATAGCGAGGTGATAAAAAGTTATTTCTGGTGACAACTCTTATTTACGGGCAAGGCCCCTAATTTAAATTCTTCTAGGTAGTTAAGGGGGGTGGGGCAGAAATTTTTCTTGAGCCTGAGGGGGTCTCGGTTGCCTTTAGCTCAAAATAATCCACCTAGCACAGAGGAACATCTTGGGGTGACTCGTTCTGGTCTCCTATACTCTCAATTAAAACGTAACACGTTGTTCTAGCCAGTTTGGCTCAGTGGATAGTGTCGGCCTCTGGGCTGAAAGGTGCCGGATTTGATACTGGTCAGGGCACCTGCCCGGGTTTCGGGCTCGATCCCCAGTAGGGGGTGTGCAGGAGGCAGCCGATCCGTGAGTCTCTCTCATCAGTGATGTTTCTATCTCTCTCTCCCTCTCCTTTCCTCTCTGGAATCAAGAAAAATATATTTAAAAAATAAAAATAAAATGTAGCGCGTTTTCCAAAGTGATGAAGTATAAAATAATCACACACTCTCTCTCTCACACACACACACACCCCTTAAAGTTTGCTTCCTGGCTAGAGGGCTCAAGCTGGTCACATTCTCAGATTTGGAATGCATCCAAAAACAAGGCATTCTTTTATGAATGCCAGTTTGTTCTTAGAAGCTGTAGTTGACCAAGAGGATTGGGAAATGAATATGAGGGATTTCAGACCGTGCTGAGTAATTATTTCATTAGCCAGCCTCATTGATGACCTTGGGGGGGGCGGGGTACAGTCTCCATCCGCTGACTGCAGGCTTCTATGTGCACGAAGCTTGGACATGATGCATCTATCCTCTAAATCTCCCCAGTTAACGAGGAAGGTGGTTTGGCCTGGTGGGTGGAGAGGTGGGCACTGGCGTCAACTGTGGAAGTTTCAATCTCTCAGCTCTGCCGCTGAAACCTGCGTGGGTTTCTCCCTCTGTGAACGGGGCTGGTCGGAGCATCCCCGGCTCCGAGGGGCTGTGATGGGGGTCCAGGAGCCGTGACCCACTCTGGACAATATCGGGGGACAGTAGCGGGCACAGCGCTTTTCCCTAAGTCTCGTTACCGGGGCCACACTCCCAGCCTGCTCGCGCCAGCACCTAACACCCAGAAGAGGGGAACAGCTATTCAACCAAACTGCAACCGTAACCAGGTGTTTTTTTTCTTCTTCTTTTTAAATAAATGTAGAAGAATCAAAAGAATTCCTAAAAGTACACCAGGCGCTGCCCGACTGCGTGGCTCAGTGGTTGAGCCGCGACCTATGACCCTGGAGGTCAAGGTTCAATCCCCGCCAGGTCACGTGCCAGGGTTGCCGGCTCCATCCCCAGTGGGGGGCGTGTAGGAGGCAGCTGATCCACGATTCTCTCTCATCATGGATGTTTCTCTCTCTCTCTCCCTCTCCCTTATGTTCTGAAATCAATTAAAATAAATAAGTAAAATAAAAACACCAGGAGCTCATTGGAATGCTTCCCGCAGCAACACGGGCGCCTCCGAGGGGCCGGGTCCCTTCGAGGCTCCGGCGCCGCGTTCGGTTCCCGGTTCCCAGGATGGCACGGAAGGCGGAGAAGGCACCCCAAGGGTTCGGCTCTCTGACCATAAAAGTCACCCCCAAGTTTCTTTAAAAAATCAATGCTCGCGGCACGCGGGGCGGAGAACCGTGTCCCCAGGCTGGGAGAAGGG